GTCAGGGCCTGGGCGCTGTCCCCAGCGTGCCTCAGAAAAACCACGCAGCATCTCAGGGCTCCACTGGTTTTTTTTCAAGCAAATAGTGAACACAACTTACAGATAGCGGGAGAAAACTCAGAATCTGTTTCTTGAGGCTCTCTGGGGGGAGCTCCAGCTAAAACAGGGACAATGACACACTATTCCTGATGTTCCTGGGGAAAGAAAAGTGTTTATTTAAAGAAAATATATTCAGGACTCTATAAAGTGTCAGACCTAGTCAAAGACTCTGCCTTTAAGAGCCAGCAGCACTGTATTCAACCCTCTCTAATAGACCCCTACGGCGATACGGGGCCTCGGGGAACTTTTCCTAGTCCTTTGGATAGTGGTGAGTTTATTCTTTAGACGGGAAGTCATTTAGCTCCTCTTTGTTTATCCTGAGGCCGCTTTCTAGATGGGTGCATTATCCATATGAAGTTTGAGTGGGTTTTGGATACTTTCTGATGTACTGTGCTGCTCTGTGATCAACTGACAGCAAAGCTGCAGGTATTTCTTCCTGCGAGCTTTGAATGGTTACGCTTCAATTTTGCTTTCCAAATCTGAATGATATTAGAATTTTCAATTTCAAAAGCTATCCCTTTTCCTTTCTCTGCAATAAAGAAGGAATGGGAATGCTTGCCCAGCCTTTTCTGTGCTGTTCATTATTTTACACAAATGTATCACTAGGTTTCTCTTCTCCTTCATAAACTCTCTAGACAGTCTTTTTAACTGTGCCTCTTCTCATAGCTTTCATTATTTTCATCACCTAACATAATGCTTTTATACCTCATTTAGCAGAAAACCGTGTAGAGATCAAATCTTAGTTTAAAATATGAAGGTCACCTCTAAGCCTTGCTAACAATTTTATGGAAATAACTAGAATACAGAAGCAATATGAATCATTGCTCCTATTTTATCATTTAGGAAAAGTTGAATAAATATCTTGAAAATGTTTTATGTAACCTTTTTGAAATGTATTTCACTTACTGTAAAATATGTGCTAGTTTGACTACTGTTGAATAGATTTGGTTGGATGGCGACTCAGAAACCAAAGCAATTTCAAAGAAGAGAGGCGAGTTCTGTTTTATAAACACAGAAACCCCAAGTACTACGTGTGGCTAGAGCAGCCTCATGGAGAAACTGGAATTTTTATGATCCTGGAAGATTAAAGGAGAGGTTGGTACAGTAACTCAGTTTAACAGCTGCTTTGTTTTGGATGAAAGAAGAAGATACCTTTTGCTACCTAAATCAAATATATCACTTTTGGTCCCTTTTCTTCTTCAGTAATTTTGTGCTGTGAGTTACCTGTTCATGAAAGACAGCCACATTTAAGAGCCAAAGTTTTGCTCTTTTGTAACCCCCACCCCCCAAAAACCCGTGTATGTAATTAGAAACATCGAAAATGTTAACATTTCTGAGATACCTGATGTTTGTTCTTGCAAACAGCTCCCAAACGTACCAGAATCCATCAGAAATGTAAGAAATCACATTTTGCTTTTCCACTGGTGCCATTTTAGAAATAGCAACATCTTTATTGCAACATTTCTGAGGGAAAAGGGGCTCCTTTACCCTTCTGCAGACAGACAGATGCTCCTTTGTCTCAGTCCTCCGACTGCTGCTCTACCATGCTGTTGCAGTTACTCTCAGCAGAAAGACCACGAATGGCGGGGTGAAACGGGAGCTATAGCAGATGTGTGCAGAGCCACAGAGGAGCGAGTTCAGCGTGTGTTTACTCCCAAAGGAAACCATGACCGTTTGCTAGTGTCCCAGCCAATCTCAGGGAGGTTTAAAACTACTTAGAAGGGCTAATGAAAACTGTCCCTGGTGACTCTAGCTGGTAACAGGTTCACCTGACTGCTCTTAAATCCCCTGCACACCTCCCTCGCCATTGACGAGGCTCAGAGTAGGTCCCACCGGGGTTTTAAGCCCTCCACCTCCACTGTGAAAATGACCCCCCGAAGTCCTTGGCAGTGTTTTCCTCCTCGCTGCTGCGCTGTCTCAATCTCACGTAGCTTTCGTTTCAGGGGCTGGTGTCATGAAAGCCTCTTGGAAACTGGTGCTGTTTGAGGGGTGACACAGGGATGACGTTAAATTGCACTCAGAAAAGACGCCTCAGCCCCACATTACTCACATGACAACGTCATGTTGACTGAATAGGAGAAGGGATTGAGCCTTGGAAGGCTTTGCAGATGAGGGAGCTGGAGATGGATGAAACTAATAATAATCTGCTGTGATTTCTCAGCTATTTAAGCAAACTCTGAAGTCAACTCTTCAAAAATAAACGCTGGTACCTGCTGTAGTTCAGTGTGCCTGGCTGTCTTTTGAACTCCTTCAAAGTGGCCCTTGTACTTTATCAGGGAAACGAAGAGGGAGATCCCTGTGTAATCTCCATCGTTACCTTTCATTTTTTGAGGTAATGATGCATAGTGTCCTGTGGGGAGAGTGCCTTTCCGCTCCTGAGACAGCAGGTACTCCTTTGTAGCTTTCCTCGGGCTTACAATAGATACCGCTACATAGCAGCTTCCCCTGTTCCTCAAAATACTATTAGAGCATAGATAAAATAATTTACATGCTGTTAATATAATTTTTCTGACATAAAGCCATATGTCCACGGAAGAGTCAAAATCCCCCATTTAGGGAAGAGTTTGAGTTTCTAATGCCATCGACAGCATGCCCGCCGTGAGAAACTTCTCCATGAACGATGAGGGAAACATGGCTTCCTTCCTTCAAGTTTTTTTCTCTTGAATTATTTTTTTTCAGTTGTTCATTAGTCCTATGAAGCCAATCAGCCTTTTTTTTTCCAAATATTTGGCTAGGTAATAGCTCCAACGAAATTCTAGTGGTTTTATATTGATCTGGATAAAAGTACGGAGCTTCAGAAAAGTGCACGGGTTGGATGAAGCCGCGCAGTGTTTGACGTAGAACAGACAGTTTGCCACCAGTTATTGCACATAAACACTAGCAGAGCACATAAACAGCTGCAGGGCTTCAGGAGAATAACTAACTGGTTGCAGATTTAATACTGGCTGTCATATCACTGCTTTGTGGGTTTTATTAACGACTTACTAGGCAAGAGGAGCCCTTATTCTGCTCCTCCGAGATCTGAGGAGACACGAGATAGATGTGGTTTACATTTCTCTAAAGTTAGAAGTAATGATGTAAAACACAGAAATAGACATGAATAGGAAAAAAAAAAAGCCAAAATGTGTAATTTGAAAAACGTGGTAAAGCCATAGCTGCACAATATCCCACTTTCCAAAAGGTTCAAAGGAAGAGGGTTACGGGTAGAGAGCCCTATAAGGCGAGAAAACAATTACTTTGTCACGTATGGAAACTTTCATTCTTCAAAACTGAGTGAGAAATGTTGGTAAACAAATGCCGGGACCCAAAGATCCCACGAATACTTGCAGTGGCTGTTACACCCGGGTGGGTACCACATTTCGTGACAGGAACATCTCTAGGGGCTCTTGCGCCGAGGTGCAGCACAGCGCTGGCCTTACAACCAGGTGGCTGTGGAACAACCACCGCCTTAGTCGAGCGGCACTCAGCTTTCTTGGATTTTCAGCTGGATCTGAATTTTGGGTTGCCACTTCGTCTGCCTCATCTCCGAGAACGGGAAGCGGGACGGGCTGCGTTGGTGGGCGGACATGATCGGGAGTCAAAGAGCAGAGCTTCGCCCCGGCGCCTCCCCGCACCACGAGGGGAAGGGGCCAGGCCTGTACCGGCCGCCCCGAGGAGACCCGGAGGCAGAACGGCTGTGGGAAGCCAGACCAAAAGCCTGCCGAGCACCACTGAAGAACCCAAGAACACGGCGCTACTTCCGCAGAGAGCACTCCCCGCCTCCAGCGGCCCGAGCCCTTTGCTAATTGCGCTCTAATTGCGCCGCGCTGCCGAGTGACCGGCCCCCGCCCCCCCGCACCGCCCTGAGGAGAACCGGCGGGAAGAGGGGCCGCGC